AAGCCAGAAAATATATTTAGATTGTAACAATTTTTTTTGGTGGAGAGATAATAATGGGTTAGTGATACAAGTCTTACTAATTAACCTATTATGCCTAATTAGAATTTGATAAACAAGAAATTATAACATGGTTACAAAGTGGGGGATCAATCATTTATTACAATCAATATATAAACTGATCTCTCACTTTGTGGCCACCAAAGTTTTTAAACATTTGTATTTCAGAGAATGTAAATAAATCTAAAAGACATGCCCATGTAGCTAATCAGTATTTGATTCATTTTTTATGGCTTATCAACCCTTTGCAGGTTATTCAAAGCCAGAAAATATTTTTAGATTATAGTAATTTTTTTTTTTTTGATGGTGAGAGGAGATAATGGTTTATTGATACAACTCTTACTAATTAACCCACAGCTGGGGGAAGAAGCGGCGGATTCATACCTTTGCATGTATCCCAAGCTGTTATACTTTACACCATCCATAAATCTAAGCTTAAATCACCTGGTATTCCCAAGCGGTCACACATCTAGGTGGAAAAGCGGTCCTTCCTTCATTCCTTTCATTGACATCGAAAAAACAATGTCCTCAGCCCTTAAATCTGGCATTTAAAATTAGGATTTAAATTCAGATATATGTTTACAATTTAGGAACATGAAACTTACGTATTAATCCTGCAGGGTCAAAGGTTTCTATATGTGAAGTAATTACAAAAACTGCAATAAACAATTTTTTTGGCTACTTCTGATATACAGAGTTATCTCAAAAAATTAGATATCAAGGAAAAGTTAATTCTTTTTCTATAATTTAATTCTTTGTTTTAAATTTAAACTTTCATATATTTATTACACATAAAATATTTCAAGATGTTTTAATTTTGATGGTTACAGCTTACAGCTCTTGAAAATTACAAATATACTATCTCAAAATATTAGAATATTTCTAAGATCCCTAAAAAATAAAAAAAAAATGACTTTTTTTATACAAAAATTCCCCCACTACACAACTCAAGAGCCACTCAAAGTAGAGTGCTACAGTTAAAGTGATTATTGAATGAGGTGTGATTTTGAATGTAAGAGGAGGTGTTAGAAAGTTGATAATTATGAGGACAGGGAAGGTAGATAATAATTGACCTTTGACTTGAAGAGGTCAAGATTAAAGTGTTCAAAGAAGTATCTACACAAAAGTGTGTTCAACAATGTAATAATTAGTGAGAAAAAAGCTGCTTGAATGGAACTTTCTCCTTAGTATATTTAGAAAATAAGGGTGATTCGAATCCGTGGAGGTAACATGGTGTATCTGAGCTCCAAAGGTCTGTGCCTGTGGAACTTGTTGCAGTAGATGCATGTTGAAATCGCATTGCGGGGTGGTCACTAAATGTTGCAGCACTGCTTCTAGTTAGATGAGTGATTTGCAACTGTAATGCTGTAGCACACTAGTGTGCCATGTGATTCTCTTAAGTGTGCCATGAAATATTGTCATGGCATACATATATGTATGTGTGTGTGTGTGTGTGTGCGCATGGAATTAGTAATGGTAGTGTTAGTATTTGAATAAATGAATAAGTATTGAATTTTTTATCCCACATTAGATAAAAAAGCTTTATTAATTTTATTGCAATTTTCTATTTCTTATTGATGTGAATTAGGCTTCTCAATCCTAAATAACACAAAAAATAATAAGCAAGAAAGACTACACTCAACTGAAGAAAAAATGTGGGTCTGCTTATCACACATTCGACTAAACATTAAAGAAATCGCGAAAAATCACCAAACACAGGTTTCATACTAAATAAGATGCTCAAATAGTTGAATAGAAATATGAAATAAAGTAAGTTCATATTTCCGCATGTATTTTTTTTAAATCTATGCTTTTATTTCATAACATTTAAATATATACTCTTAAAAATTTTGCTAATTGTGCTGTAATATTTTAATTTGCTCCTAGGTGTGCCATTGCTTAAAAAGGTTGAGAAACACTGCTCTAATGTCACCATTATGTTTAATTAGAAAAAAGTCAGGGATTGATTTGACACTGTATTAATATATCAGTTATGTGAAGAAGAATTGGCCACTATTTCTGGTGATCGAGGGCTCAAAATGAAACATTTGACGGTAGCCACTGATACATTTTGGATTTCAATACAAAAGGAATATCCCACATTAGTTAAAAAAGCTTTTTTTAGTTTTATTGCAATATTCTATTTCTTATTTGTATGAATTAGGCTTCTCAACCCTAAATAACATCAAAAATAAGAAGTGAGAAAGACTACACTGAACTAAAGAAAAAATGTGGGTCTGCTTATCACACATTCAACTAAACATAAAAGAAATCACCAAAAATCACCTGACACAGGTTTCATACTAAATAAGCTGCACAAATAGTTGAATAGAAACATTGAAATAAAGTAAATTTATATTTGTGTGTGCATTTTTTAAATTTACGATTTTATTTCATAATATTTAAATATATACCCTTTAAAAATTTTGTTCAGTGTGCCAATGCTTAAAATGGTAAAGATGCACTGGGTTAGACTACAACCAGTGGTAATAATATTTTGAACATGTAAGTGGCGGGTGTAAAGAAATGGAATGAATTTGGGGTTTTTTTTTTCATTTTTACCTCACCGAGTAAAAAGAGAAAAATACACAAGTACACATGCAAAAGAAAGAAGATATCACATTTCAACCACTTTCAAGGGCCTTCATCAGGTGCTTGCCGATTCGAGTAACCTTCAGGAAACCTCAAACTGAAACCTTTATTTAATTTATGGGAGGAAATTTTTCTCATTCTGCTGTCCATGTCTTGGGGTATCTTGTGCACTTGCAAATCTTGGATATTTAATGGAAGAGCTATAGCATAGAATCCAAGTTTTAGAAATGAAGTACTACAGAACTGTCTAAAGCAGGGGTGTCCAAACTTTTTTTTTCAAAGAGAGCCAGATTTGAGGAGGGGAATATGCATGAAGGGAAGGCCAACCATTCTGCTTGACATTCTTTGAATCATTAAAATTAAATACAAATGAAGTATCTTATGAAAATTTTATTGCAAATGGCATATTTTCATTTTTTTTTTCACATGGATGACAAATAAATTTAAACAGATCTTACCAAAATCACTCAGCCCTGTCATATCTGATGCCTATATAAAATAAAGTATAATATGTCTGAGAAAAAAGAGCTTCCAGGAAGCTATATCTCAGGCTAGTCTTAAACATTAAATATTATTGGTAATTAATATTGTCTGTCAACTTTTAAGTTAAAAACATATGAATAGGAGTATTCATCTTATTAAGAAGTAGAAAACAAAGTGACACAAGTCCAAGTGTCCAAATATATTTATAACTGATTTTGAACAACACAAAACAAATTCAATTCACTAAGATTTTAGAATTTATTCACCTCAGATGACCAAAACAAATAACTTGCCTTCCCTAATGGGAAGTGTGATACTGAGATCTGGACTGCATTATGTAGGCCAGGTCTGGTTCAAAGGTAAGTGATTTTCAAAATTGGCTGGAAAAGGCTATAGTCAGGGTCACACCGCCAGAATTGATCACAGTGCTGCAAACATCTTTTGGTAAAACATGAAATTGCGTTTCTTAGGTGTGCACTTTACATACTCTTATTGACAATACTGGCAGGCTGTAAGTGATGCATTCCATGATAGAGGATGGGGATCATACAAAATTTGACTGTGGGATGTGATTGGCCCCGAGCTGGACTTTGGATATGACAGACCTAAAGCATCTCCTAAATAGATGGCAACACAAATGACAATACAAGGCACCATCAGACAAGAAACAGGTCCATTTGGAAGACTTAGCCATTGTCAAGAAGTTGAAATGGTATGGCTATGTCACAAGAGCCTGCAATATTTTTATTACCATCCTACAAGGTACCACAATTGGCAAAAGAAGAAAAGGCAGACAGTGAAGAAAGAAAATGTTTTGTTGGCCAATGAAATGTAACAAAAAACAAAAGCAAATTTCTTTTGCTAGAATTTTATTGAGAAACATTTTTTGCTTTGTCAAAGAATTGAATGTTTTACAAAAAAAAGTAAAACATTAAAAAAGTAAAATTTAAGAATAAAAATTTAATATAAAATTTCAAATTAAAATTTTAATTTTATATTTTTATTTAAATATAAAATTAAAATTGTCAAAATAAAAATTAAATTAAAATTTCAAATTAAAATTATCAAAATAAAAGTATAGTTTCAAATTAAGATTACCAAAATAAAAAATTAATATAAAAATTTAAGCATGGTAGTTTTAAACAAGTGAAAAAATAATAATGATAAATAAATGCTATTTCAGAAATTATCTAAACTCATGTTTTTTATCTCTATATTCTTGCCACTTTGACCTTTTATCTTGATCGAAAGATGGAACTATTTTTTTACTGTCACTTAGATTAAAATAATTCACCAATCCATAGACACAAATGTATTAACAAGTCTACATTCTTAAGCAATGAACCATTGAAAATCTTTAGTAACTATACCACTCTCACAGTTTATGAAAGAAAACCATATTATCATGACAGGCTTTTTGAATCAAGCTCAAGGCTGGGAAATGTTTAAATTTGCTTTTTAATCCAGTAGAAATAGGAAAAGAATAGCTACAAAAAAAATTTTCTGATAATAAATTTGATACATTGACAGCTAAATGGGTCATAAAATGTTTTTACTTTTCCCCAAATTATTATTTAGCAATTAAATCATCTAAAATAGAAATATTTTAACCATGACAGCCTCCTTCAAGTCAATGCTGTATTTAAAAATGTTGAAGATGTATTAAATTCTTTATCTTGTTAACAAAATTTTGTTTTTCACTGTTTATCAGATTAGAAAAATTTACACGTCCAAGTAACAAAATTCTATTAGGTTGCTTCGAGTTTTTGAAAACCAATTCTAATGACAAATGTATCATCCGACTGGAACACAGCTCCCCAATTTTCAATCTGAGCAGTTATCCATTACACCACCTGCACATTCAAGCTTTACAGCACCAATATTCCCAAATGGTCACTCATCTTGGTACTGACCAGGCTCGACATTGCTTAACTTCAGTGACGAGAACTGGTGTTTCAACAGAACTGCTGTCAGCTCAGTGACACTATAAATATAATTTCATATAATTCATAGAATAAAGTAATTTTTTTTTTTTAAATAAATAATAAAATAACTCACAATGGCATGTGAAGGTTAGAACTGGTTGAACTAAGGAATGTAGTTCATCTGAACATTTTCCATGGAAATAAGGAATAAAGCAGTATAAAGAGGTTTGCAACATTTCATCTGTGAGAGAAATGCTGTAAGGTGGGAAATAATTCATCACCCACAAGGCCTCATTAACAATTTGGTTTCTATCGAAAATGAAGATTAGGCAGTTACTGCTCATATATGACAGTAGTACTCCATTTTCAGCCCGATCTGGCTCTTGTAAAGATAGAGAACAATATGAGTCATCAAATAGTTACTTGAACAGTACAAGGAACCAACCATTTTTCTGGCAATTTTTGTAATGGATCATTTATACGAATTCCACTTGATGTCCAAGGTTGAGTTTAAGTCCCAATAGGTGCTCAAAGCATAAGGCCTCCCCAAGGAAACATCTGTTCATGATTGGTGATAGTTCTAGGTCTGAAGAAGCAGCTCTTGATGTTCCGATGACATCCTGTTCCAGTGAGGAAGATTTTCTAAGCAGAGAAACCCTGAGGCACAGTCAAGTTAGTGAGGTTGGAAAAATCTTTTAGGTAATATTTTGTCACCAATGCCCAAAGCCTGCACATGCTGTCTCCAGGTAGTGCTTTGCTTTGACAACTAGCAGCATTGTTGAGGCGGGGGGGGGGGCTGGATAGTCATCTGGTGAACCTCTCCATCTTCAGTCCATTTTTTGATTTGCTCATGATTAGAATTTCCAACTCCTCCTTTCTATAGACATTCAGGTCTTCCTCACTCATGATGCAGATGAGAGAGAGAGACTCAATACACCAAATGCACACAAGAGACAGGTGTTTAGAAAGTTGGAGTGCATGTTGATAAATTTTGATGCACACTTGTTCCAGATTGAATGTACCCTTTGTGATCTGACACTCACCCTTGTACATGTTAATTTGGATGTCTCTGGCTAATACTCTCAGGTTGGGAGATGCCGTTTTTCCTCGATCTTTTCCAACTCCTTGATGGCAAAATCTAGCTTTACCTTTATTAAAGTCACATCCACATTTTCTCTTTTCAAGACTGTAATGCAGGCCATGACATGACCTAAGCAGTATAACTGTACAGCCTTCATGTCTCCCAGTCATGACTGCCGCCCCCATCTGATTCTGTGTTCATTACTTTGGTTAACCATCATCACTCTGTATGGGACTTCATTTGCTGTGCAAAATGTTCATCTTGTCACTGAAATTGGCCTGAATTTGAATTTGTTTTTCATAGTTGTGTTATCATATCCTGCTATGGCAACAGAAAACACCTTTGAGTGAAAGTAACAATAAGGTTACTGGAATTGACAGGTCTTGAAAAAGAATGCAGTGGAAAGGAAAGTAATACTAATAATGCAGAGTGCTAAAGATTAACAGGATTTTCAGTTCCGACTTCACTTCCTGGATGCATTTTACCATTTCCACACCAGTTGTATCAACACATCGTTTATTTGCAACAAAATGAGTATTTGGTTGAAATGACTCGGCATCAATAATTTGGACATATACAAGGTGTTTGTGGTTGGTTATGTCTGTAGATTCCCCTATGAGTAGTCACGAATGGAGATTCATTTACTTTCATTTTTAGAGCAGCATATGTCAGGAACTGTATGCTACTGCTATTTACTGTAGAGGTAAGAGATCTGGGACTCCAGTCTCTGTCAAAAAGCTGTGTAACAACTCAAACTGACAGTGGAACTCCTTCCTAAAGGATCTGTTACTTTGGTAGAACTGTGAGGGAGGGGCTATTTTGAAACATAACAGAGCTTGCACAAACAGTTTAAGTGAAGGTCTGCTTTGGAAATTCTTCAATAAGCTACATGAAATATCTATATGATCCAATTTTTTTTAATGTGGTTGATTTTTAATTTCATTTGGTCGGGATGGAAGGTTTATTTTATGGGGAGGTATGTCCTTTGTTTTTCTTTTACATGGAATTTTTTTTCTTTTTCACGGATCTTTTTGCTTAGTTTTTCTTAATTTAGATTTTTTAATTTTTCTTTTTTTTTTTTTTTAAAACAAAAGGTTTTTGCTTTATTTTTTTATTTTTTTTGCAAGGGATTTTGCTTTATTTTTTTAACTGTTTTTCATGTTGGGGTTTTTATAGAAGGGGAATTTATTTTTTTTAACATCCATGAAGCACTTTGTAAGTAAGGGTCACCAGGGATTAGTTTTCAAGACAAACCATAATAATGTTCATGGATTCTGAAAAAAATAAATACAAACACACACAAAATATTTGCAAATCAAACAGGTCCCTCCTACTTGGAGGACACAATCTTACTTCCTATTCACTCATTTCACCAGCTATTTTTTGAAAACAAGGTAATATGTTCATATAATTACCCAAATACTCCAATGTTATTTTTTATCTTAATAATCCTTATACCATTCAAAAGAAGGAGTGAAGAAAAAAAAATGCATATCCAATGTACGGAACTGGAGATTTGTCAGAAACGGTGTTTACTAGTTTCCAAACTAATCATTAAATCAAATTACCTAATGATTATCTCATTTTTTGTTGGACTCATATTCAGAGTCCAAAAAATCATTTAATTCACAGTATGATAGACTCCTCTCTCCCCAGCTATGGGTTAATTAGTAGGACTTGTATCAGTAAATCATTATCATCTCCAAAACATTCTTACACTATAAAAATATTTTCTAGGTTTAAATAACCTGCAAAATGTTGAAAAAGCCATAAAAAACCAAAAACAAACCAAATCAAATCACAGTGGGTGTACCCTTCTGCTGCCAACAAAAGATATGCTTTCTAGCAGTCGCTATGCATATAATGGAGCCCAGTCCAAAAGTGAGGCTTAGATGTAGACTATATTGTCCACTTGGTTGGCATTAAAGAGGCTCCAGTTAAGACAGGGTACCTGGAAAGAATTTCATGAAAGCTATTTTGTAGAATATATATTTAAAAAAAAAAAAAACTACGATGAAGATGATAAATTTTAAAAGTTTAGAGAAATATTGAAGGCTGGTGCACAACCTGAATAAAGAAGAGACGGAAGAAAACAACAACAACAAAAAAAAAACAGAAATTCTTTCATTAAAAAAAATTGTTTAGTTGAGGGGTAAAAATAGGTATTTATTGTTTGCTTAAGCAAACAATAAATTGGCGCCATCTTGAATCCTGCTGCTATCTTGCAGTGTGCACTCTTTTGTTTAAAAATAAAAAAAAATTAACTTATTTAGTAAGGGACGATAACTTACTGCCATCCATAAGATTCAAGATGGCAGGTATTTATCATCCGTTTAATTATTTCATGAAAAATTAAAAATGGAAAAATACTTATCTCTAACATTTAAACACGTTTTCTTCATGTTCTTCTTCCACTTTATTTGAGTTGTACATATACATATTCCCCAAAACTTTTTGAATTTATCATGGAGATACTTTTTTTCACCTCTCTATATCACCAATATTTTTGGCTCAAAACCACTGTTCATTTTATTTTACACTGTGGAAAGAATGGGGATTATTTAGGTTTTAGAAATTAGAAATAGCCATATCTGTTTATATTTCTGAGATTGTATTGTAACTATTTATGTTGTTCGGACAATTACCCTCATCTTTATTGGCATATTCACAACAAAAATTTGGAGAGTTGAATTACTAAAGGGAAATAATTGATACCGAGATAAACAGAAAAGGCATGGCAATTCGAACTAGAACAATCTACTCTGGTGGACAAAATAAAGGGTTTGGTTCAAAATTCCAACATTTCAAAATATCAACTGAAGAAGGTCAGAGCATATAATGGCTGAAACATTGTGACAATAAAGATGAGAGCAACAGTCTGAACAATGTAAATAGTGTAAATAGCAATAGCTATATTTTGTTAAAAAAAATATTGCTTTGTCACATCTGAATTATATTACAATATCTTTTAAAGTTATATATATTTATCACAATTTGTCCCACACATAGAAATTGAAGACACATGAAAAAAGAAAGTATTACATTAACGAATAAATAAATATGTCTTACTTGTAATGTCCCTTGGAGGAACACTTCCAGTCCTACAGATATGTTTTATTTCGGATACATGGCTTCCATTCATTCTCCTACCTGCCGCTGGCTACCACATCTGTCTTCCTCAAAGACGTGGAAGAAATTGAACTATTCTCAATTACAAATTTATATATATATATATATATATATATATATATATATATATAAAAATGTAGAATCTGCTTTAAAAAAAAAAAAAAAAAAAGAGAGAGAGAGACTGATAATAATTGAGGAAAATAAAAGGAAAAGGATTATCCATGCTTTCTTAAAGATTTAGAAATTTAGCATCCAATTTTAAAATATCAAATGACTTAGACATGGAAGTCATGTACTTGGTGTCTCTAGCTTTATAGAGAGTTTTTAAATATAAAAAAAAAAAAACATAAATTAATCTTCTGTTAACTTGGGTTACAATAATGCAACTAGGTACACCAGGTGAGAAACGAAGGCTTACATGCTTAATGTCTTATGAAAATTCCTTTGTATGTTTTATTTGCTGGGTGCATCTAAAATAAAAATAAAAATAAACAATATATATATAATATATATATATATATATATAATATATATATAATTATATAAATATATAATATATATATATATAATATATATATATATATATATATATATATATATATATATATATATATATATATATATATATATATATATATATATTATATATATAAATATAAATATATATATTATATATATAAATATTATATATATATATAAAATATATATATATATTATATATATATTTATATATATATATATATATATATATATATTAATATATATATATTATATATATATATATATATATTATATATAAATATATATATATATATTATATATATATATA